ATAAGAAAATGGGCGGTAAGGAAGAAGATTTTTGCCCCCTCATATTTTCGAAGTGATAAGGTGGGCGATTTGGGGGGTCCTGGGAATTGTAAAGCTGTCAAATTTTAATTACAAAACTTTATAATCCAAAAAATACAACAACATCAATGGGGGGATAGCAGAAGAAGAAAGCGAAAGACGAACGAGTTGCGAATTGCGTGCCCCCAAGGGGGAGCTTCAAACACCGCCCCCCCTGGAAAACCCCCTTCAAATCAATTCAATAAGTCTGAAACTGTGTGCGTGTACGCGCAAATAAGCGAATGAACGAATGACTGACTGACTGAATGACTATTTGACTGACTAACTGACAATCCCCCCTTTTTAGCCAACAAAACGCACGTTTTCGTGCCAGCTTCAACTTGCAAAATGTTTGATTTATGCCTTTGAATTGTTGTAAATTGCCAGCCCCCCTTCGAATCCGTACCCCGCCATATAAACCAACCCCCCACCGCTGGAATTTTCCAAAACCCATCCAGAACCCCCCCGGCAATTGACAAATAATGCAAAAATTCTAGGGAAATTACCTGCGATTTGAGGTCTTTAAGTTGATGAATTGTCTGTCAGTGGGAATGAATGAATAAGTGAATGAATTAGGCGATTGAGTGAGTGAATAAGGCCGTGCAATCAAAAGCACGGCCCGAATATTCAATTGAACTGTTCGTTTCGGATTTTTGGATTACAACTCCACGGACTTCAAAGTGGACCGCTTTAATGGGGTTGTTTTTAATGTTATAACGCCGATTTTCCAATAATATAGGTGTACTCGTACATTCTTAAGCTCGCCAAAAGTAAACAGAACGAAAGTACCCTCATAAATATCATAAATACACAAATCTTCCAGATGAATCATTTTCGATAGGATAAAAGTTGGGGGAGGCTGGGTGAATGGGTAAATTTGGTGGCGAGGGGTGGTGTGGGGTGGGGTGTGTTGCTGTAGGGACTCTTCCATATGTGACCTCTTTCGAGGTTCTTTGTTTCTGCTCTGTGTATTTATGTTTGCCTTTCTCCGCTTTTATTTCTTGTTTTCACTCTTTTCTTTTATTATTTCTTCATTCGTTTCTGTTTGCGCTCTCGCTCGTCATATTCTTTGTTATCTTTTGTTGCAAATTGCCAACTTGGGCATTGCCAGTTGCAAAAATGCAACATCCACAGCGATACAAGCAAACAAAAGCCTTGGCGTCAAAGCTCTGGGGTGCACTTGGCAGACTTTTAAGCTTCCTCCCCCGGAAAATGCCCCCTTTTTTTATCACTCGAAGGCCCCTCACAGCCCGTCGAAAAATCGCGGACCACACTCCTCTGCCGGCACTTGAAACAATCAAAAATCAATGACAAGCTGCACGGCAAGGAATGATCACTGAGAGAAATAAACCAACACGCATCTTAGCTGTAATACTGGAATGGTACAATTGAACCCTTTACTCTCTATTCGTTAGCCAAGTAGCCTAGGCCAGCTTTATAACAGCATCACGTTTTTTCTCTCTGTGTGGCACACAAAATTCAGCAAGGAACGTCAGAGAAAATAAAAAAAAACAGTTGACGACATTGAGACGAAGCTTCTTCCCCGGCTGTTGCCTTTTACTCATTTGTCTTTTGGCTTTTTGGAAATTAACAACAGAGTCAACCCCCGTCCAGCCGCACACCCCCACCCCCACCCCCACCTGATGTTGATGTTGCTGCTGGCAAATGTTACCCCTTTTTTATATGCGCTATCTCTATCCATCACTCCACTTTCGCTTCTGCCAGTCATATATATATTTTAAAATTTTTATGCCCGAATGAATTTTAATTCCTTTGACGGTTTTCCCTTTGCCATTGGCAGCTGACGGCCTAAAAGTTACAAAAAAAAATAACAGAAAAGAATAACAAAAAACAGAAGAGAATTATTTTATAAGCAAGCCTTGAAGAGCTGCGTTGTGTGTGTGTGTGTGTGTGTGTGTGTGTGGGTGTGCATGTGTGTGTCTTTGATTGCTTATTGTTAATTTGTATTTGTAGATTGGTGTCTTTGTGTGCCTGTGTGTCTGTGTGTGTGAGATGCTGCTGCTCGCTGATTAAACCCTTTTTTTGCACCCCCACCACCACCCACTCTCCATGCGGAAAACCCTTGCCTCATGTGGCACATACATACACATAGATACGAGTTTGTGTATATGTATGTATAGCGACAGCAGACTGAGGCATAACCTTAATTCCTTTTGGCATTTTATGCTTCCTTCTGTCGCACTAAGAAAAATGGCGTTCATTTGACTTTGGAAATTAAAAGTTCTGCAAATGCTTGTCGCACCATCGATCGTTAGGATTTATATACAATATTTCTCCATGTGTAGGCGAAATTCCTGCTGCCAATTGTGCGACGTTTCTCGTCTTTTGCCTTCGAGTGTTTGTTATTGTTGTTTCAGATCCGAGCCCCCTCCCCCGCCCCCTGCCCCATATATGTATGTTGTATGTATATTGACTGCTTTGTCAATTGTTATGCAAAGGGTAAAACGAACTGCGGCAGGAACGGGTTACTTTTCGGCTGCTTGGCAATTTTGTTAATTACAAATCGTTTGCTTTTCGCTCGCTGCTAATGCTCCACATGCCCGTTCCTATCAATTCGTAGTCAGAAATTATTACCCAAACTAAGGGAAATCCAGCAGCAGCAGCTCCTCTGTCCAGTTCTTTTGTCCAGCTTTTGCTGTGGGCTGCAGTGGGTCGGGAAAAATGTAAATTTTCATAATTTCACAGTCAATACAGGAGGCGAAAACCAACACAGGAGTCCTTCAGCCCATCCCCACCCCCATCCCCCGCAACGGTATTTGTTATAGTTTGTTTGATTGCTGTTAGATGTTACATATATAATACCCCGCGCCCCGCCCCGCCCCGCCAGTTTGCAGCCTCATCAACCACAGAAGGAGTTGCAGAAAGTTTGTGCTCAAGGGTTGAAAATGATTTCTGCTGTCTGTGTGCTGAAAATCCAAAAAGTTGATTTATCGTTTTAATATTTCTTTTGCCAGGGCGTTTTTCGAAAATTTGTGGCAATACAAAAATCGAAATGACAAGTTTCGCCCCTTAATTTCTGGCATTCAATTTGCATACGCAGCCCGGGCATTGTTGCCAAACTTCGTTGTCGTTTGTGTTTACTAATTAAGTTTTTCACTTATTGTAGTGCAAAGCTACCTTCAAGAATCGCATATTGAGTACACAGATCCTGCGGTACAGTTGCCACATGTGTGTGTGACTGACTGCTCTCATCCGCAGGACGACGACACATGCCCTGCAAAGTAAGATGAAGAAAATCCAGTCGAGTGTTTCCCCGCGACTTGCGCTAATTACGTTTATTTAAGAAAGCTGAAAAATTTCATTCTGGAAAAAAAAAAAAGCATTCTGGAGCTTCGCTTGTCTGCCAAGCAGTTGGCAATTAGAAGAGCCACCCCTTCGGGACGTGAAAACCTCCTGGCTCACCGCACCCATAGGATTTTTATGCAATTAATTTGAGTCGTTTGTCGTCTTGTCATGTCTCTTCTTTTGAAAGGGTGGCTCGTTCAGTAAGGTCGGCAGTCTTCATCGTATCCCGTATGCTAATGAAAAATCGAACACGCATGCCACCCCTCCCCCTACCCAGCCATTCGAAAGGGCCCAAAACCCAAACCCAAACCCCATCACATGTCCTGGATCCTTTGATTGATAATAGAATTAACCGGCTGGCGGCTGTTTTGCATTTTTCGGCATGCCACATGGCCATACACGCATGTTGTTGATGCTTTTTTAATGCCAATTATGTGCTACGGTTCTGGCCCATTGTTTATGGCCAATAATCATCAGCGTTCGTTCAGGCCCCATCCACAAGTATTGATAAAATAGACACGTGAAGTGGGGCTGGGGGCTGCGGTGTTCCCATGTTGATGAAATTATTGTTTATGCCCATGTTCGACACAAATCACGCAATGACACGCAAATTCGTAGTTAGAATTATGTTGATTCCTCAGCTTACTTATTTGCATATGGGCTAAAGTTGTCCCATTCCCCATTAAAACAGCTCGATATTGGTAGTTTTTCCATTGGCGAAGTCATAGTTTCCGCAAAGCATTAGGGAAAAACATGATGCGCTCAGTCTGGCAATCAATTTAAATAAAGTCTTGTAGCTATAAGACATGAATTCCAAATGGGAAGAGTCGGAGACATGAGATCGATATATTCCAGTTTCAGCAGGTAAAGTTTGGCTTTGGGCTTCGTGGCAGATGCGTCAATTAAAAACCGCGTCGTAAAATTAATTTTAATCACATAATAACAAATACACACACACACACGGACAGGGGGAGGGACACGCCCACCTGGCTGACATTAAAAAATTTCGTTGCATACCACACGGCGCTGTCGAAAAACTTTATCTTGTCAACTTTCACCAAGAAAAGGGGCGTTTTTCAGAGTGGGGGTGGCACGAAAATCACGAAGGGATGAGGGTTTCTGTGTGTGTGTGTGCGTCGTCGACGCACTTAAGAAAAATTCCCTTGTCAAATTTGCCAATTATCATATTTTCATCAAACAAACAAAGTTCCAAACAAAGCCCACATCGGCAAGCTGGGGGCGGCATCTTCGTTTGCCGGGCTGGGGCTTCACTGTACCTGGCGGCATTTGGCGGTCGGGTGGCTTCTGCCACAAACCCACTCCGCCCACTCCACCGCCAGCATTACTCGCTGGCAATCACCGACGAGCGGAGCGACATTGACGTCGTTGTTAATTTTATTAAAAATTATTTTATAACTCTCGAGAACTTTTCACGCACACACACACATGCTCATGCGAGGAAAATGTGTATTTCCCTGAAGGAAAACGATGAAAACACACGACAACAGCTATCGATGGGAAATGGCAATAGCATTAGATAAGACTTTAGGACTGCAAGCGCTTGAGGAGTACAGCATATTTTGCAAAACTAAATTGGTATCATGTATTAAAGGCCTGAACCGCTTGATTTATTCCAGATTAAAGCACTGCTGGACGAACTGCAGCGCTTGAGGGCGCAGGAGCAGACGCACCTTGTGCAAATCCAGCGACTGGAGGAACATCTCGAGGTCAAGCGTCAGCACATCATCCGCTTGGAGGCACGTTTGGATAAGCAGCAAATCAATGAGGCGCTGGCCGAGGCGACTGCCTTGGCTGCTGCCGCGGCGACCAACAACAACAACAATAGCCAGAGCAGCGACAACAACAAGAAAGAGAGATCGCTGGATGCATCCTCATCAGCCATTGCCGAGCTGCCGGAGTCCACAAAGGCACGCGTTCCGACGGAGGACGAGGAAGACGATGAGGACCAGGCCATGCTGGTGGACTCCGAGGAGGCGGAGGATAAGCCAGAGGAGTCACGACACGGCGACGAGGACGACGAGGAGGACGAGGGCGAGGATCGCGAGGCGGTCAATGCCAACACAACCGATAGCAACGAGCTCAAAATCAAAAAGGAACAGCAGTAAGTGTGCAAACACTCAAGGGAAAACCAAAGCCATTTCCATTTTTTCCCCTTTTTTTTTTTTACACTTTCAGCAGTCCGCTGGATCTGAATGTGCTCAGTCCGAATTCGGCCATTGCCGCTGCAGCTGCGGCCGCCGCTGCCGCCGCCTGCGCCAATGATCCCAACAAATTCCAGGCTCTGCTCATCGAGCGGACCAAAGCCCTGGCCGCCGAGGCGCTCAAGAATGGCGCCAGCGATGCCCTCAGCGATGGTAAGTCTTCAATTCTCGTTGCGGCTATCAGCTGGATAGTGTTTTTCCAAAGCATTGGAGGTGGATCGATTTGTAACATTGAAAAAAAAAAAGAGGCAGGACCAAGCAACAAGTTGTAAATAGTTTGACAGAGTTGACATTTTCATTTTCTTTGCAAACACATCGCTTGATCGCTTCATATCGATTCACCCCGGTGTGTACTGTACTTCCGGTTTGTCTTGCCTCGACTTCTTGCTTCCTCCGCTTGTCCGATACTTCTTGGTTTATCAATCGCTTTCATTTGGAACCGACGGCGGCGTCTACATGTTGTATTTCTTGATTTATTTTCTCCTCTTCTTTTTTATGGTTTATTTGACCGCTTATCGTCGGCGGAGGATAAACCGTCCGAAGAAGAAGAAGAAGAGGCAGAAGAAGAAGAAGCACATTTATATGATGGGGCGGGGCGGAAAGATGCGGAGGGGTTCCCATAAAGGCAGACGGCGCCAGATTTTATGGGCCAAAAAGGCAAACAGCTCTCGTTTTATTTTCCCTCCTTACTTGCCTTTCATTTCCACCTCCGACAAAATATTTGCATCGAGCGAATGCGAGCGAGCGTTCGATGGTTATTGTTGCTGTTGTTATTTTGTTGATATCAATGTTATCATTGCTGTTGTTGTTGTTGTTGTTAATGAAGTCGATGTTGCTGTTCGGTTCTGCATGTTTATCGATAGCAGAACGACACACTACATCTCTCTTTATCGCTAGTTTCCATCATAAATCGTTTTAATATGCCACACTCATCTATCTATATATATATATATATATATATATATTTATACATATATACTCCAACACACCAGAGATTCTTTGTTATTTTGTTGCATTGAATTGGCAAGAGAAAATCGAGAAAAAGCAAATTGATAAATGAAAATTTTGTTTGTGAAAAAAACAAAGAACTGGCTAAAAACAAATTTTGATTCATTTTTGGCGTTATGTTCCATGGATGTTGTTGACCAAAATATACAATAAGAAACATATGATCTTGCTTTAAAAAGCAGCAACAACAAATAGCCCAATTTGTTTGTTGTTATCCCCAGAAACCAACCGAAATCATGATGAAGAAGAAGACCAAGTGTCGCCAGCAGCAACTGCAACACGCGCAGCACTCGCAACACTGGCAACACCTGCAACAACAGTGGCAACAACAATTGCAACACTGGCCAGCGAGTCGGAAGCGAAAGCGAAAGCCAGCAATGTCATGGCGCCCAAGCAGGAAATCCAAGACGTGGATGATGAGGATGACGATCCACCGGTGAACCTGCCGGAGCAACTGGTCAACGACTATTGGCGACGGGGCTTCGCCGAATCGGGGCATAACACTAATGCGTGCAACGCTGCAATGCCAGGGAGCAAAACGCCAACAATCTATCAAAATTTTAAGGTCGAGCAGCAGGCGCAGTTGCTGCCGCCACCGCCGCCGCCGCCGCCGCCACCACCACCACCCCCACCATCCCCGCAGCAACAACATCTACACTTTTCACAGCAACAGCAACAGCAACAGCAACATGGACCATCGTCCACAGCGCTGCTTAGTCAACTGGTTAACTCAACATTTTCCAACTCTTCCAACTCTTCTCGCCTAGATGCCCACCACCACCAGCAGCAGCAGCAGCAGCACCACCAGCAGCAGCAGCACCACCAGCACCACCACCACCAGCAGCAGCAGCAGCACCACCAGCAGCAACACCTCCACCAGCAACATCACCATCACCTGCAACAGCAGCCAAACAGCGGAAGCAACAGCAATCCGGCGAGCAACGACCACCACCATGGACACCATTTGCATGGCCATGGCCTGCTGCATCCATCGTCGGCGCACCACCTGCACCACCAGAGCCAGGCGAACGAGTCCAATTCGAATTCGAGCACACCCACAGCGGCGGGCAACAATAATGGGAGCAACACGGGCAACGGCAACGGGAACGGGAACGGCAACAGCAACAGCAACAGCAATGTGAATAGCACCGCTCAATTGGCCGCCAGCTTGGCCAGCACACTGAATGGCAGCAAGGCCCTGATGCAGGAGGAGAGCAACGGCTTGGCCGCCGCCGCCATGGCTGCCCATGCCCAGCATGCGGCGGCCTTGGGACCGGGATTCTTGCCCGGCCTGCCAGCCTTTCAATTTGCCGCTGCCCAAGTGGCCGCCGGTGGCGATGGACGCGGCCATTACCGCTTCGCCGACTCGGAATTGCAATTGCCACCGGGCGCCTCGATGGCCGGTCGTCTTGGCGAGTCGCTGATACCCAAAGGTGATCCCATGGAGGCCAAGCTCCAGGAGATGCTGCGCTACAACATGGACAAGTACGCCAACCAGGCGCTGGATACCCTGCACATTTCGCGGCGCGTCCGTGAGCTGCTCTCGGTGCACAACATTGGCCAGCGCCTCTTCGCCAAGTACATACTGGGCCTGTCCCAGGGCACCGTCTCCGAGCTGCTGAGCAAGCCCAAGCCGTGGGACAAGCTGACGGAGAAGGGACGCGATAGCTACCGCAAAATGCACGCCTGGGCCTGCGACGATAACGCCGTCATGCTGCTCAAATCGCTGATACCCAAGAAAGGTGAGTGGCTTAGCCCGTAAGCGGGGTAGCATTTATTTGGACTTTGGGCTTTGCGAGTTGGACAGGTGGGCGTGGCGAAAAGTTGCAGTGCCCTCCAACCTAATCCAACATATGCCCGCATTCGTATACCTATTTGGGTGGGTATGCTGGTACTCGTACTAGGTTTGTCAGTTCGTTGAACTGCCGATTGAGCAGCATCCTTCAACTCGCACTTCAAACGATGTCCTCGATGTCCTGACTCCTTTTTATCTTGGTATTATTATTACTTGTTTTTTTCGTGCGGCTTTTGGCGTTTTTCATTTCGTTTGGCCGGCGGCCAAAGCATTAAATTGTGAAATTTTAATTATTTTTGATTTTTGCGTATAATCAACGTGCCAACAGCAGCACACAGCAGCAGCAGAAGCGACAACAAACTCGACGACGCCATTTTCTGGGCAGGCGGGGGCTGTGGGGGCAGGGGCCGCCCAGGGGGAGGGGGCGTGGCGGACCAAAGAGAGACATTTGCGGTGCAGTTGGAGCGGCCATTTGGCTGTCGCCATAAATTTCGGCAAATTCGCACATTAGGCGTGAAAATGAACAGGAATTCCTTTCAGTTTGTCTCGTTTTTCGATCTAATATTTTCTTATTTTTTTTTTTTTTGTTTGTGTTTTTAATTTTTAGTTTTTCATTTTGTTTTCCATTCGCAGCAGATTGCGAGACGCGCAATATTCGGCTATCATGCGCATAGCAAAAAGTAACAATTTTTACCCATTAATATTCCATTTGTTTGCTTCTTTTTTTGCGTTTACAAAACCATTTTCGATATACGTATATGCCAGAATTTTTGAGCCTATTTAGTATCACTTACCCCAATGCCACTCTTGTTATCTAGTTGTCTTGGTTTCCCGCTCCCCTATTGATTAGTCATCAATTTTATGTACGTACAACTTTCCGGCAGCGCAAAAAGCGAAAATATGTCAATGCAAAAGTATGTTTAAAGTGCTAGCACGCATTCGAGAAACCCCCCCCCCCCTCCCACCGCCCCCCTGCTCACCTGCTGCAAAGTTAATCAAATGTGCGTGTGTGTGTGTGTGTGTGTTGGTCTAAGTGCATGCAAATGTTGACAATTAATTTATGACGATTACTCATGGCAGCTAAACTAACTGTGACTGTTTATAGAGAAGCGTCGCTGATGGCTGATGGGGGCTTCGAGTTGGGCAGCAGAGGGTTAAGAGCGAGCTGAGGGGTGCGGAGGCCAATGGCTAGAGTGCAACCGAGGTTATTATACTCCTTTTTCAAATTACCGTTGCTAATTATGGGCAACATATTATAGTTGGGCCAGAAGATCGCAGATGCGAAATCAAATCATCCTTTACTGCACCAAATTCATGAATTAGCACTAATAAAGCCATCTTCATAGATCTGCCATAGATTGAGGTTTTTTTCTAAGTGAGCGGCAGTTCACCCCCCTAAGCGCCCCCTCCAATGGGCGCCCCTGTCAACTCTGTTGGCTAACAATACTTTGAAGTCATTGTGGCAAAAGTTAACCCAGGATGCGCGTCAATGAATTTTGAATTGTAATTGTTTAAAGCGCGTTATGAACGAAACCGCTAAAGTGGGTGGACATAGGGTGGGGTTTTATGGGAAGGCGGTGGGCGGTGGGTGGTGGGTGGTTACAAAAAAGAAATGGGTGGAGGGAGTAGCTGGTTCGACGCGACGACTGCCGTGACAATTGGTCTGTGAAAGGCTTAAAACAAAATACAACAGAAAAAAAAAATGGTAAAAAAGAGAAAAAATTAACCATACATATAGCGAACAACGTGAAGTTGAATTAAATGTAAACAACAACCAGCGATGACGACAACAACTACAACAACAGCAACAATAGTAATAACAACAGCAGCAAATGCCAACTGCAACAACAACAACAACAAATACCAACTGCAACTGACTTCAACGAGGCATGCAAAACGTTGACGTGCCGAGCGTTTGAAGTCGTCTTTGTGGCTGGCCAAAAAGAGGGTGGTAACTGGGTGGGTGGCTGTGGGTGGCTGTGGGTGGCTGTGGGTGCATGCCACTGCAGGGTAGGCACAGCTCCACTAGCTTGAAGCAAAAGTTTTTGCGTTTTCGGTTTGTTTTCCTATTTTCCTGCTGGCTTCTATGTGCTGTTTCCCTTCCCTTCCCTTTTTTCTCTTCTTTTTTTTACATTTAACGACAATTGTTGCATATTTAACTGCAAGCAAGGGGTTAACGTTTTAGGGGCGGACGAGTTCAAACATCGATAAAAGCTTATAGGGCTATGGAATTCCAGTTCACATGGTTTTAAGTTTGACTAATCGAATATTTATATTAGCTTGCTTTATCGCACAAGAGATACGATCAATAATTGCCAAAATGCCACCAGGTCAATTCCCTTTTTTCCCTTCTTTTGCTCTCCGTCGAGTGAACTTTGCTAAAATCACAAACGCACAAAAACTGTTGACAGGACCTTTGATATTAAAAAAAAAGTAGCAAAATAGGAAAGACCGGGGGGAGATTTAAGTGCTCAATTGAAACTCGTTTAGCATGGCGCTCAAAGCCAAGGCAAATACAGCGCGGGAAAAAAAGAAAGAAAATACGCGGCGTATACGTAATGACAAAAGCGGCGAGTGGAGTTCAGAGGAGTCGAAAGGCGGAAAAGTGGAAGGCATACGGAGCCATTATATGTAGCAGCTAATAATACGAGCATATTAACACATAATTTTCAGCAGGCACCGCCGTTGTCATTTATTTGCTTTTAGCCAGGCCAACTCGGGCCAAGACAAAAAAAAAAGAACGAAAAAAAGAGTACGAGTGCGAGTGCCTAAGAATAGAACCAAAAACACAACGCACACGGGATTCGACAAAACAAAAGCATTCCAAACGCCAAAAGATGCGGCTGAGTAAAAACAAAAAGAAAAATAAAAAAGCAGCAGACTGATGCCACACATTCATTTGCGGCCGCTTCACAAATTATTTGTCACAAGCCATAAAGCGGGCTAAAAGTGTGTGTATGTGTGTGTGTGTGTGTGTGTGTTGATGCCACACGAAGAAAATAGAAGATATACTGGGAGATATTGCTCTGACTAAGTGACCAACGGGGCGTATCAATTCCTTTGCTTTCACGCGATTCTTGGGTCCCCACTCGATTGTATTTCATTTTATTAGATTTTATTTATACACATTAAAGACAGGTACGGCGCTAGGGATGCGCGCATACCGATAAGGTGGTGGGCAAATATATCGAACAAGAAATGTTTAATTTCAAAACACGAATTTGTATTCATACAAATCTTGTTCGAGTTCATTCGAAGTTCGAAACTATACGCCACAAGACAGATATCAAGTTCATTCGAAGCTCGAAACTATACGCAACACGATAGATATCAAGTTCATTCAAAGTTCGAAAGTATACTCAACACGATAGATGTTAAGTTCATTTGGAGTTCGAAACTATACGCAACACGATAGATGTCAAGTTCATATGAAGATCGAAACTATACTCAACACGATAGATATCAAGTTCATTCGAAGTTCGAAACTATACGCAACGCGATAGATGTAAAGTTCATTCGAAGTTCGAAACTATACGCAACACGATAGATGTTAAGTTCATTCGGAGTTCGAAACTATACTCAACACGAAAGATACCAAGTTCATTTAAAGCTGGAAACTATACTCAGATATCGATCTTTTAGTGACATCCCTAATGCACCAACACTTTGCCACGCCAGCCAGCCATTAAAATATTGTTCATTGAGTGGCATCGCAAAAGTGTGGCGACTCATTGCGGTAACAAAAACAGACAGATGAGGTGGTTTTTCTTTTAGGGGGAGGCGAAAGATTTGACTGCGTGGGCCGGCCAAACAATATGCATAAATTAGGATAAAGCTCGCTCAACAATTTTCATAAATCTGACGATCGCCAGCAAAAACAACAAGAGCAGCCAACGAGTGGCGTAGCTAAAATTTATTTTATTTTCAATTTCTTTGATATCTCTTGTGATGAACGAAATGAGGCAATCAGGAATGAAAGAGCCCCGGCCGAAGAGTAATGGCTACCGATCAGGGAGTGCTAATAATTTGATGAGGACTAACCAAAAAATACTGTAATAAAAAGATAAATAAAATAAGCAGACAAAATGGGAAACTTTTTAAGCCCCACCGCCACACACACAGGCACACACATGCACACACACAACAAATTAATGTTGCACATGTCGTGTTCGTGCTTGATTTTTGTGCTTTTTATTTTGCATATAAGGCAGCTAATTACTTTGTAATGAACTTTGACAACAGCAGCGAAGGATGGCGGCCAGGAGTGTGGTCTGGAAGGTGAAAAACAAAGCGAAATCATGACGAAAACAAATTAAAATGCAAGACAAAGTTGCTGCACGTTACCCACCCATTCCAGCCATCCATGCATCGAATTCTCCTGGCTGCTGTCCTGTCTCTGTCTCTGTCTCAGTCTCTGTCGCAGTCTCTTTCCCCCGGCCCTACCCTACTCTTTCACACCACCCTTCTGGGCTGGGCGTCTCTCTCTCTCATATTTTCTGCTTAATTGCAAGACAAACAATGAGTGCGAAGGTGCCATTGGAATGGGTTAAATGGCAGTGAAACGTTTTCTATTTTTTTTTTTTTTTTTTTTTTGATAACAGGTGACGACGCTGGCTCTGAACTCTGCGCAGTGCAGAGTGAGCCCACATTCGTAAACCCCTTTTCCCAGCCTGTCGAAACTCTTCAATTCGCCATGCTACGTTTGGTTTCTGCTCAGCTAGAAGAAGAAGCCTCCAATTTCGCTTCCAATTCCATTTGGTGGCACTCCCCTACTTTCCTCTGCAACCCCACTTGGCCTTGTCTTCCGTTTCTTATTTTTTTTTTAATTGACACTTCTGCTAATACACAGGAACAACTGACAAAATGGGGTAATGGATGGATGGGGGTTTTTTGAAAAAACGGGGCCCAAAGGAGTCACCGAGTAAGGGGAGAAGGAAAAACAAATGACTGGCATTTTAATTAGAAAATTTTTCTTGCAATTAATGCAAATTGCGTGCGTGTGCCAATTTCAATGTGCCGTTCAATTCCGTCCTCCTATATTTTCCCCCCACAAATACATATTTACATATATGTATATAAATATATAACCCTTTCAGATCGACGCGACATGTTGAAGTATGATTACATATTTGTGTGCTGGCAAATATTTATTGTATTGTATTAGAATAAAAAAACAAACGAATCAACCCCAACGCCCCAAGAACTTCTGGAGCTGAAGCAGCCACTTCACTCTACTGTCTGGGTTCTGGCACCGTTCCTGGGTTCTTCGTCCTCTGATTTGTTATAAAAGGCAAATATTCATCAAGCAAATTGCGAGGGAAAGGGAGAGGCACGTAGATGGGATAGATTGTCATATAAAAATATGCGATATATATACATATATATAGGAATATATTTGGTATGTGCTAGACAAATATGATAGCTCATATCTGGTGCGCATATTTCCCCGGTGCGATTGCCGGTCCGAAATCCCTTTGAATGACAATTTGGTCAACATGTTCCTCTCTAATAAATTACAAAACAAAAAATCCAAATGCAGCATCTGGGGTGGGTTACACAACACACAGCACACAGCGGACAAAAATAATGTAAATCGCAGACAAAAAAGTGGCCAACGGTAACGACAAATATATATAAGCATATCTGCCGCCTCCAACTACCGAAAAACCTCGCTATCTATATCTCTATATATATATATGTATATAGTAAAAAGTTGAATGATGGCCATAAAGGATGGCAGCGAAAGTTGGGCCAAAAAAACTGCGGGCAACTTCAGGGGGAAGTCCTTTGGAGCATAGGATGATTGGAGGGGCGACAGCTTTGTCTGCTCAGCAAATGAAATGCGCCACGTGAGACTCTTAAATTTTTGACAAAATATTAAAATGATGGCTACAAATAAAAATGGAAATCGGCTAACAAATGTTTGGGAACTGCACTCGTAAGTTCGATAATGAAGCAAGCTGTATTTTCGGACGAAAAACCCATTTCCCATACGTACTTCAGCTTTAAAGCAACCTGCTGGAGAGGCAGTACATTCAACATCCCGAACCAAAATGTTATCCAGCTGGCCACAATCATCCACTAAGACCGCTTAAGCTGTCTGTGTCTGACCAACGCCATACCATCGCTTAGAGCGATCGCATCTCTGGCCTGGGTCATTCCAGGTGTCATCAATGTCATCTTCGACTTTATAACACAAAAACACTTTGTAATCCCCAAATGAAGCGACGACAAGGAGTCCATAGCATACATAAAGAAAAAAATTCCCACAAAATCGTTTTTCCAATTTTTATGCCATGGAAACCAAAGCAAAAACCAACTGGGTATGGATGGAGTGTATCTATTGTAGTTGGCCATTTTATCGCCGTTATCCATCTCTGCTCTCGTATCTGGGGAGTTCAGGCCCATACTATCACCCTATTTTTCAAATCTCTCGCTTCAATGGCTGTCGGACAGGATGTTGAGCGGAGGAAAGAGGAAACGTTGCCCGGTGCCTGGACATTTGTCATTCATGTGTTGATTTCCGTTTCCGCTAACGTCCGATTCTTGCAGTTTTATTTGCGGCCAAGTGTTTGCTCCTTTGGGCATCGATTATGCTTGGCAATTGTAAAGCGATTTTCAGTTATTTCATTTCGCATACCCACACCCAAGCTCCTCCCAAGCTACTCCGCATTGCGTTCCATTCCGCTGAACGTGTGCGGCTGATTGATGTTTTTGCTGTGGCAGCCACAAAAACATGCCGCAGGACATCACACAGGAAATTCAATGGTCCCTGTTCGGGCGCCACGCCAAGTACGGGCATGGGTATGTCCCTGCCTGGTCGCCATATCAAAGTATCGGGGTTTGTATGTGTGGGTGGCTCGAACCACTTGTGTGATTATTTTGCAATTTACCACTCGATGCTCTGTCACGAGAAGCAAAAAGTCAAAAAGCAAAACGCTTCACCATTTCGTTTTCAATTGAATTTCAGCAGAACAATTTTCAGTTTTACATTTTTTTTTCTTTCTATTTGTTTTTTTTTTTTTTTTTTTTTTTTTGCAAGCCCCTTCTCCCTCGGATTTTCCTTGATTTTTTCCCCCTTTTTTTGCATTCTCCTCCGACCGCTCTCAATTGCAATTGAATTCATTCATTTATTCATTTCGTTTCGTTTATTCAACTCCTGGACGAACGCTCGCTTCGATGAGCATTTCCCAGAGGTTTGGGGCCAGGCGCGTGCCAAATTAGCGCAACGCTTTTGCATCGAACAACTATTTGAGGTCCAGAGTTGGATGGGCAAACTCTGGTTTGGGGATGTGCTCGTAAAGAAAAAAACAAAATAACACGAATTTACACAAACATTTTTTTGTACACCATTCATGAGCAGCGTTTGTGTTTATGCTTGTGCTTGCTGGCTATAATTGACGCCGCCCCATGCCCCCCATGCCATTCGGGCATTCGAAATTTCTGTCAGTGCATTGGATAGGCTGTTGGGCAAGAGGCGTGGCATTTGGTGGACACTTGGCGGGGCCCTTTCAACTGCAGCGCCGCTTTATGGCCGCAAATTTGCTTTGGCTTTTTGAACGCTTTATGGCTTAATTGGTTTCGGTCTGGTTTGGGTTCCAGGGTTCCAGGGTTCCGGGGTTCCGGGGTTCCAAGGCCCAGGTTCATGTCCACTTCCATATCCATGTCCTGCCAATCGAGCGAGCATACCCCATATAAACGATCCGGCTTGGCATAAATTTTTACAGCATTTAATGGGCTTTACGATCATCCACCTCCTACTAATCTGGAATATAATGCATCGCACTCTTCGTCTTGCAGATTCTGGGCTGCCACAGTATGCGGGTCGTGGAGCCGGCGGCGCTGGCGGCGATGATTCCATGTCCGAGGATCGGATTGCCCACATCCTCAGCGAAGCCTCCTCGCTGATGAAACAGAGCAGCGTGGCCCAGCATCGGGAGCAGGAGCGTCGCAGCCACGGCGGTGAGGATTCGCACAGCAACGAGGACAGCAAGTCGCCGCCGCAGAGCTGCACCTCGCCGTTCTTCAAGGTGGAACAGCAGCTGAAGCAGCACCAGCATCTCAATCCCGAGCAGGCTGCTGCCGCTCAGCAGCGGGAAAGGGAGCGCGAGCAGCGGGAACGGGAGCAGCAGCAGCGCTTGCGGCACGAAGACTTGGCCCAGGACAAGATGGCTCGGCTCTACCAGGAGCTGATTGCACGCACACCGCGGGAGACGGCTTTTCCAAGGTAAGTTCGCCCATGGTTTCAACAGCATGCGATGAACATGATTCTGTTTTGTTGAACGGCATGCAAAACATTTAACTGGTGTATCTGTTTCTCCCATAGCTTTCTCTTCTCACCCTCGCTATTCGGAGGAGCCGCTGGAATGCCGGGAGCAGCAAGCAATGCCTTTCCCGCCATGGCCGATGAAAACATGCGCCACGTGTTCGAGCGTGAGATTGCCAAGCTGCAGCAGCACCAGCAGCAGCAGCAAGCTGCCCAGGCTCAGGCACAGTTTCCCAACTTCTCGAGCCTGATGGCACTGCAACAGCAGGTCCTTAACGGTGCCCAGGATCTCTCGCTGGCTGCCGCCGCAGCCAAGGACATCAAGTTGAACGGCCAGCGATCCTCGCTGGAGCACAGTGCCGGCAGCAGCAGTTGTTCCAAGGACGGCGAACGGGATGACGCGTATCCAAGTTCCCTACATGGCCGCAAATCCGAGGGCGGCGGCACACCCGCGCCACCTGCCCCACCATCTGGGCCAGGAGCGGGTGCAGGAGCCCCACCCACAGCAGCACCAGCAACCGGCGGTGCCAGCAGCAATTCGGCAGCACCCAGTCCGCTAAGCAATTCAATCCTTCCGCCGGCATTGAGCAGCCAAGGTGAGGAGTTCGCGGCGACAGCCAGTCCCTTGCAGCGAATGGCCTCGATCACCAATTCGCTGATCACCCAACCGCCGGTGACGCCGCACCACAGTACGCCACAGCGACCCACCAAGGCGGTTCTGCCACCGATCACCCAGCAACAGTTCGACATGTTCAACAATCTGAACACCGAGGATATAGTCCGGCGTGTGAAGGAAGCCCTGTCGCAGTACTCCATCTCGCAGCGACTGTTTGGCGAGTCCGTGCTGGGCTTGTCGCAGGGATCGGTCTCCGATCTGCTGGCCAGACCCAAGCCCTGGCACATGCTCACCCAAAAGGGGCGTGAACCCTTCATTCGCATGAAGATGTTCCTGGAGGATGAGAACGCGGTGCACAAGCTGGTCGCCAGTCAGTACAAGATTGCGCCCGAGAAGCTGATGCGGACGGGCAGTTACAGCGGCAGTCCGCAGATGCCACAGGGCTTGGCAAGCAAAATGCAGGCCGCCTCATTGCCCATGCAGAAGATGATGAGCGAACTCAAGCTGCAGGAGCCAGCACAGGCGCAGCACTTGATGCAGCAAATGCAGGCGGCAGCCATGTCGGCGGCCATGCAGCAGCAGCAGCAAGTGGCACAAGCGCAGCAGCAGGCACAGCAGGCGCAGCAGGCACAACAGCATTTGCAGCAGCAGGCGCAGCAGCACTTGCAGCAGCAGCAACATCTCGCCCAGCAGCAACACCCCCATCAGCAGCACCACCAAGCGGCCGCCGCGGCTGCCGCGTTGCACCACCAAAGCATGCTTCTGACCTCGCCCGGACTGCCACCCCAGCATGCCATCAGCCTGCCACCGTCGGCGGGTGGAGCCCAGCCAGGTGGTCCTGGTGGCAATCAGGGCGGCTCGAATCCCTCGAATAGCGAAAAGAAGCCCATGCTGATGCCGGTGCATGGCACAAATGCCATGAGGAGTCTGCACCAGCACATGTCGCCCACCGTTTATGAAATGGCCGCTTTAACCCAAGATCTGGACACCCACGACATCACCACCAAGATCAAGGAGGCGTTGCTGGCCAACAACATTGGGCAGAAAATATTCGGCGAAGCCGTTTTGGGACTTTCTCAGGGCTCCGTGTCCGAGCTGCTGAGCAAACCGAAGCCCTGGCACATGCTCTCCATCAAGGGCAGGGAACCCTTCATCCGGATGCAATTGTGGCTCAGCGATGCCAACAATGTGGAGCGATTGCAGTTGCTGAAGAACGAGCGACGGGAGGCCAGCAAACGGCGAAGGAGCACGGGCCCAAATCAGCAGGACAATAGCAGCGATACCTCCAGCAACGATACCAATGACTTCTATACCAGCAGTCCGGGTCCAGGATCCGTGGGTTCGGGCGTCGGTGGTGCACCGCCGAGCAAAAAGCAGCGTGTCCTCTTCTCCGAGGAGCAGAAGGAGGCACTTCGGCTGGCATTCGCCTTGGATCCGTATCCAAATGTGGGCACCATCGAGTTTCTGGCCAACGAGTTGGGCTTGGCAACGCGTACGATCACCAACTGGTTCCACAATCATCGCATGCGGTTGAAGCAACAGGTGCCACACGGACCAGCCGGTCAGGATAACCCGATACCGAGTCGCGAGAGCACCAGTGCCACTCCCTTCGATCCCGTCCAATTTCGCATTCTGCTGCAACAGCGTCTCCTGGAGCTCCACAAGGAGCGAATGGGCATGAGCGGTGCCCCCATTCCCTATCCGCCGTACTTTGCTGCCGCCGCCATTTTGGGCCGCAGTCTGGCGGGGATTCCCGGCGCAGCAGCGGCCGCTGGAGCAGCTGCAGCTGCTGCCGCAGTTGGCGCCTCCGGCGGCGATGAGTTGCAGGCCCTGAACCAGGCCTTCAAGGAACAGATGAGCGGTCTGGATCTGTCGATGCCCACCTTAAAGCGGGAACGCAGCGATGACTATCAGGACGATCTGGAACTGGAGGGCGGTGGTCACAATCTGAGTGACAACGAATCGCTGGAGGGCCAGGAGCCAGAGGACAAGACCACCGACTACGAGAAGGTGCTGCACAAATCCGCTTTGGCCGCTGCCGCCGCTTACATGTCCAATGCAGTGCGCAGTTCACGACGAAAACCAGCTGCACCACAGTGGGTCAATCCCGCCGGAGCGGTGACCAATCCAAGTGCCGTTGTTGCAGCCGTTGCTGCCGCTGCAGCTGCCGCGGCGGACAATGAGCGCATCATCAACGGGGTGTGCGTGATGCAGGCCTCCGAGTACGGACGCGATGATACGGATAGCAACAAGCCAACGGACGGCGGCAACGATTCCGATCATGAGCATGCCCAGCTGGAGATCGATCAGCGCTTCATGGAGCCGGAGGTGCACATCAAACAGGAGGAGGACGACGACGAGGAGCAGTCGGGATCGGTCAATCTGGACAGCGAGGACAATGCGGCTAGCGAGCAAAAACTGAAGGTGATCAACGAGGAGAAGCTGCGAATGGTGCGTGTTCGCCGGCTGAGCAGCACTGGTGGTGGTTCCTCTGAGGAGATGCCAGCTCCCCTGGCACCACCACCTCCTCCGCCAGCAGCAGCAGCAGCAGCAGCGGCTTCCTCCTCTGCCGCCAGTGGAGAGAGCAGCAGCAGCAGCAGCAGCAGCAACAGCAACAGCAACAGCAGCACCACCACACCAGCGGTAACCACTGCAGCTGCAACTGCGGCAGCCGGCTGGAACTACTAAAGTAAAACAATTAACCGAACTAAATATGAATTCAGTGCAATGTGTAGAGCGAAGCGGAGGTGGAGATGGAAACGCGTTTACTTGTGATTAAGTTTGAATGTTTAAACGATGTGAGGACCCGGGAGACATACATAGATACATACATACATGCATACATATAAATAGCACTTAGGCTCTAGAAAACTATATTTTTTTTTTGTTTTTTTTAATAAACATTAACTACTAAATATAGGCGTTAGTTGTAGCCGTTAAGGTAGCCTTAGATTGAGGAGTTGTAATAGTTGTAGCTAAAAGTTTAGAGACGCTATGCGATGATGATGATAATGATAATGATAAAGATAAAGATAATGATGATGATGATGACGATGATAATGAGAGAGCAGCGCAAAAGTATTAATGAGAAAATAAACCCCATTTAAGAACCCCGACTTGCCGAAGAACTTTAACCAAAATGTCGAGATCCAATTGATAGTGAAAGATTTGATCTTGCAAAGATTTTCGATTTCGATTTTTCGATTTGTTTCTACTTGAAGACTGTAAGCAAAGGCGGTAGGATTGATAACTACAGACGTAAATCTATTCTATACAACTTTTTTTTTGAGAAACTATTATATGATTATTAGCAGTTTAGCTGGTTAAGTGTAAATAAATAATTAAATGAATGATGATGACGATTGATGGTGTACATAGATTTCTCGCGAGGCATGATCTTGCTGTCGTTCTTCCTAAAAAAAATCCTACCTTCTACCACCCTCAGCAACCGACTTGTTTAACTATCTTTTGATCTCAAGCAAAAAACAAAACAAAACAAAAAGAAAACGAAAACGAAAGAAACGAAACAAAACAAAGCAAAGCAGAAATTGAAAGGGAAATGTGGAAGGCATGGAGTGAAAATCCAAAGTAAAAGATAGTTAAAGGCAAAGCTGAATTGCAGCGAGCAGAAGAGTTTTCCCCTATTTTGTTGCCCAAATAAAATATATAAGTATGTATGTCGATGAGGAAAGGAGAGGCAAATCGAGAAGAAAAAAAACAAATATATAACAATAAACTTTGTAAATTCTGAATTTACATAAAAAATCACACACATAAAAAATACACCTACACAACAAAAACACACACACACACAAATTGAGTAATTCATAATTATAGCAAAAATAAACATGCAAAATGCACTAAATTATTTATAATCTAATTATTCTATACATAATTATATATAATTATACATATGCATATAAAGCGAAAAGTGGAAAATTTATCAACTTAGCCTAACGGTAATTTAAATTTGCATTAAACCCTAGCATAAATAACAACAATTTTTTTCTGTGAATCTAAAATATTTAAAGATAAAACTAAAAAAAAACACAAACCGCATATCGTACTAAAGAAATTACACAAAAGAAAAATATAAAAAAAATAAATAAAAAGAAAACAGTAATCTAAGACAGCCAATTTTTTTTTTGCCTAGATCTTAAGTTTACAACGTAATCGTAATATTAAATAAATTACAAAATAAACAAACAAAAAAATAAAAAAAAAAGAATCTGTTTTCCTATATGAACAAGAGACAACATAGAAAACCAAGAAGAGCAAAAAGCAAATTTTAAGAAATATTTAAACCTTTTTTTTCCTAGGCTAAATGTTTAAGCTAAACAAAAAACAGATTTCTCAAACCAAAAAAAGCTAAATAAATTAAAATTACACGAAACCATTTTTGCATAGGCCCAAAATTTGCCGCGTTATTATTATTATTATTATTACATACATATATATGAGACGAGTAATAAAGAGAAACAAATTACCAACATATACCAAACACATTTCAAAAACCTTACAACAAAAAAATACAATTTGCGAAATTTATACAAGAAACAAAACATAAAACACAAAACAACAAAAAATATTTTTAAAAAATATGCAAACAATTTTTGCCCGCTGTCAGCGAAATTTGTTACGATCTTCTTAAAAATTTCATTTTTATCTTTTCCTCCTGTTGCGTTTAAGTTATCGAGTTAAATACTTTGCATTTTCATACGCTTTAGCTAAAGAATAAATTACACCTATATGAATATGAGATAAACAAGTAATAAATAAATATATATAAAATATATACAAAATATGGATAAAGAAAGTTAAGATGAAACAAAAACCGAAACACGACACGTTGAAATGGTTCGCAACTTTTAGTTTTAATTATTTCTTAAATACAATTTTTTTGTCTTCGTATTTTTATTATTATTATTATTATTGTAATTATAATATAAATATTATATATATATATATATTTATATATATATACATATATATACATTAAAAGAAGGAAGAAAGCGAATACACAAGCGACAACATACCAATAATACATGAACATGATCGAAACTTTATCAAATAAAAATGTTTTCTTAAACGAAAAAAAACCCATCGATATCCTTTTTTTATTTTCCTACAACAACAACAAAAAAAAAAACCACCAAAATCGCAGAAAATGCCGCTGAGGAACGAAAGTACTCGCAATCTCTTGTAATCCCGCAATCTCGTGACTCCGAAAACCCTCAACCCCATGACCTACAACCTTTGACCCCCGGATGCCCAAGCCCCCAAGCAAGAAAAAACAAAAGTCAGGCAAAGAAACACTCTGAAATTGTATAGCATACATTTGGGAGTTAGCAAGATGTCGAAACACTCCCACGCCACCCAGCCGATATAAGCCTATATAGGACCTAGTTATATATATGCATGATCAGCATTTTTATACATACCATTAATAGTTATATTTATTAACAATATGCGGTGCTAGCCAAGTAAAGTAAAACGTACAGATATTGATGAAGAAATGGCGCAGACCCACATTATATGTATACATAACAACTAACATATGTTAGTAATGTAGGCAGTGGAAATTTTTTGCATAGATCCGTACTGCTCCAATAAAAACATACGTAATTAATTTTAAACAACAAAGCGATTAAAACGGAAACGTTTATTGATTCAAATCAAAAGAGTTGAGCTGTAAATACGATATATATGAAATTATCCTTCCAATTCAAAACACACACTCACACACACGCACACATTTTGTATACCGACTAAGAAATAATTTGTTGTTTTTTTTTAGACCTCTAGATACAGATATCTGAATATACATGAATATAAATGATGATATGAATTTAAGCCCATGGTGATATGCGCACACACTCCACTCACTTTGCCAATTGTCCTTACCTTTTCTTATTTTCTCACCCACAACATATTTAGCTGTACATAAGAAAATGAGAGACCGAAACTTAGAGGAAACCCAATTTATGGATCAGAAAGTAAAAACATGAGAAAACATAAAACCAGACCATATCAATATTATGTTAAAAGCATAAGGAGTAAGAAATCGAATGGATATAGCAAGTTATTTTAGCAGATCCAAAAAGCAAGTAAATAAAAACAGACTTGAAATTACCATATAACCAGCAGATATACATATATACAAACGTCTCTATTATAACATAATAACGTTTATGAAAAGGCATGCATTCAGTACTGTTGAATGATGATGAGATCCAGAACAAGTAAAAGAGCCGTAGTTAACACATAGAACAGAACTATTGAACCGATACCAAACCGATTCCCTTAGTTTTCAACCGACAAAGATCTTGATGAGGAAAGCCAGCTCCGTTTTTCAGTTTGAAATCCGCCCAAAAATGCAATGAACATAAAACAAAAACAAAAAAAAAAAACAAAAAATAAAAGGAAACCAGAACAAAACAATTGCAAAACGAAGCGAGGAGAGTAACAAAAATTAAGGAGATTCTTAAGCAAATTAGCAAAATGTGCCCAAAACAAACAATTGAAAAAGAAAAAGCAGCAAAAATATCAAAAATATACATATAAACAAAGTAAATAGAAAAACAAAAGCCATATATAGATATATATATTATACATAGATATTAAACTTAAGCACATACAATTTTTGGCAACCTCGAAATCATTTTCTAAGACCTAAGCAGAAGCAAAACTTAAAAATTAACCAAATAAACTTAAAACAAAAAACCAAGCAAAACAAAACAAAAGCAAACATTTTTTTGTAGCATTTCTTGTATAAATGCACACGAGCATAAAATTAACAACAAACAACCAACATAAATTAAAAGGTAATGAATATTTTTTTTAATTAAGCTAAAATGTAATTGTGTTTTTGATTTCACACTCATCGAAAACGTTTTTCCAGCAAACGGTTTGCAAAGAAGCAAAAAACCGAGGCGAATTAAAGAAGAAATCAAACGAGAAAAGAAAACAGCCACGAAAACAATTATCAAAATATGAGAAAAGTCTCGAGAAATGAGAAAGACGAGATAATGCGAATATAAATAATAATAATAATATGATTAATAAACTAGTTTATATAGCATGTAAAACTGAACAGAAAAATCAAATTCAATAAAGACGAATCTACTGTATTCCAATACGAACGTTATATTTCATTTTGGGGAAACGATTGAAATTCAGTTAATTGAATTAAAAGTTAAGAAACTTTTATATTCATTTAGGCAGTTCGCTTTCGAATCAAAGCTGATTGCTGCAAAACCAGTGTGACCTGAATAGATGGCGCCTTCAAAAAAGCTTGCCGCCTGGGAGTGTGTACCCGGTAGATCGAGAAGGAGTCTGTGATACACGTGGGATGGTGTATTCGCTGAGGTGGGTGAGTTCGGGAAAAGTGAAAAAGTTTAAAAAATAACGGTACTCCGTAGATCGCGAAGGTGTCTGTGCTACGCGTGGGATGGTGTATTCGCTTAGGTGGGTGAGTTTGGTAAAAGTGACAAAGTTTAATAAGTAACGGTTTAATAACCAACAAATATTAAAAACAAACAAATGTTTCTCTGGCTAAAGAAAGGATTCATTGTAATGTTCAGGAATGAAATCCATAACATGTCCATTTGCTTAGCTTTTATATTTAGGATGTATTTCATGAAGCTTGTATAAATTAATTAAGGCCTGAAATCCTTTAGATTGGGTAATTATTTGATATCCGGGAGGTCCCACGTAGCAGTCAAAAAACAAACAAGAATCAAAACAAATCTTCAGAAGAAAGTAAATTCAAATTCTACACATAAACCGTTGCAAAAGTATTCCTCCGAAGGCCGCAGCGAGCCTGACACTGCTGCAATGAATCGGCACAGTGCAACCAGCCCACAAAATGTATCGTAATAAACAGAACAGATGGGGAACGTTTTGACAAAGTTTCAACATTCGTGATCAAAACAGTAATAGACCTTACATGCGGAAGTGAAGTGGTGTCTTGCCAAAAAACTCGCTCTGGGACATTACCAGTCAAAACTAAAGACCTTTACCTAGCAGCAAGGTTAATGAACATGAAGACGTTCCATAATTTTACAGAAATATATCCGAGCACTACAGATTGAACCACCCAAGGCGTAGTTTATGCAAACGACCTACGCGGCATCCCTGAAATACTAAGGGAACTTGCTCCCCAAAAAGTCATTAAAGTGTAGAAGATACTCAGGTTTTCTGACAACAAACCATCGGAAACAGGTCTGATAAAGTTTACATTTGATACCACAAACCTCCCAGCGACCCTGAAAATTGGCTAAGAGAGTGCATCCCCTTACCGCTTAATAATAATTTCCTCTTAGATAATTTCAAATGTCTGCTTTAAAAATCCTTTTTCCAAGTATTACAAACCAATTACTAAAATAGACCTCTTTAGAGGTCTAAATAAAAAACGGTTGAAAATGAAATTAAAACAAGATAGTCGAGTTCCCCGACTATCAGATACCCGTTACTCAGTGGAAGTGCTAGCTACTAGTGGAAGTGCTAACGAGAAATTTCAAAATTTTCTGGAATATCGGTAGAAATTGGGGAAAAATAATAAAATGAAAAATAACTTAAAAAATTGTTAAATAAATTCGTCTTATTTTCAGGACATACTTTAGGAGATCTCTACACAATCGCCAGGATAATTCCTTATAGACAAAGCAGAAAATGGCACGCTACCTAGCACAGATCATCATCTTGGGTGCCCAGGTGGTTGGGCGGTCGCTGCTTAACCAGGAACTTGAGCGGCTGGAGCTGTTGGTCAAGACCGGCATTATTACAAATGCCTTTAATGACCCTAATAACTGCAATTCAGCAAAGATATAGTAAGCCATGAAATTCCATATAGTTGGCCATGACTTTAACTTCGATGTCAGCTCCGATTTGGATTTACACCCAAGGACCGAAGGCATCAAATATTTTCAGTTTTGTTTTGGGCTCGACGGAACAACATCTCCATAAAAATTTTCAGTAAAAATGTTTTATAAAAATTTTAACAAATCTTGAACTACTAAAAGACTAAGTGAAGAAAAACACTAATTTGGATTTTAGCTTTTGTGATTGGGGGCTTACACATTTCATAATCTTGCAAAATTGGTGAATGGAAGTTCGCCAGCTGCCCTCCATTTGATTGCTTTCAAGGAATTAAAAATATAGAACGTCGTCGTGAATAAGGCACACGACGACTTCTTCACATTACAACAAGGTAGTATCATTTAATTGCAATACAATTGCCATGTATTAAATGCAAAATGTGCCCTTTATTCAGGATTACTCATGACAAACTTGACACACAGTCGAACTCGTTCGCAAGGTTGGTATCTACAAATAAGAAACCTAAGATGTCCTCCCTTACAGATAAATCTATCTGCTATCCACAGTCTACTGGGAGCTGAGCGATTCCATCCCGATTTTGTACCACTTCAGCACAATGAATTATGAATACTTCGAATGACATTATCATGTTGGCAACACAGTTTTTTCACACAAACCAAATCCGGCATTACTCAATAAGTGGATTAAGTAATATCAATAAGTAATGGTATAGTGCCATATATTACCATATTATTATTACCATGCTATATATTCAAGATTACTCATGACAAACCAGCTACAAACACTAGTCTTCTCGTTTGCTTACAAGGTTGGTATCTACAAATAAGAAACCTGAGTTGGATTAACCCAAGATGTCCTTCTCTTACAGATATGTCTTCTATACACAGTCCGATACCGTCCCGATACGATACCTGTACCTCTCAGCATGATGAATTATGAATACGTCGAATTATATTATCATATTGGCACACTAACCAAATCCAGCATTACTTAATAAGTGGACTTTTCAGCCAATAAAATACATTAAATAAGACTATATAATATACACTTAAATATTTGTTTTGAATCTGTGTACTGAAGTTGCGCTGCCCACTACTCTTTAAATAAACAAATTAATTCAGATTGTGGCAGGGCTCCACTTTAACTATATTTAAAGACTACTTTTTGAATTATTTTCTCACGCATATGAAAATGAAAAGAGCAACAATTTACATTCAAAAGCCGTTAAATATCTGTTCCGAACATCTCATTGATCTTTATAATAATTCTACCAAAGCAAAAGTTCGCCCATTCCCACACACCCACATTCACGCACACACACACACATTCACCTATGTGGGAGTTGATGAAAAGAGAGCAAAGGCAAAAGGAGACAAAAATAACGCGTATTAGCAATGCTTCAAGATGAATTTCTGTATTTCGCAACTGCAAAAGTTCGTTAAAATTTGTCGGATCTTCTGCTGCACAGCTCCTTTGAAATGACATTTCACGTACATTTCGCAATAGATTTAAAGTGTAATGAAATGAAATGTGCAACATTTTATAGACATTTCGCAATAAATATAAAATGAAATTTTACCTTAATTTCTTTCCCACCTTTCCACAGTATTCCGCAATATTCCGAAACAAATTTCATCTAGCGCACACTTCTTTAACTATTACTAGACACTTTTGGGGCACTTTAGGCCACCTGCACACAAAAAAAAAAAAGGAAATAGAAACAGCATTCACACACAACAACAAAAATACACATTCCCGCACAAAAACGGTAGTTAAAACGGCACTTTTCAATATTCCCGCCGACAAAGGCAGCACTTTTCCGTGCTACTGTACGCGCGAACCGACGAGGATGAGATCAAAAAGCCGAAAGGCAACTACATTGCAAGCTTACGACGACTGCGGAGAGAGAGAGAGAGTGCAGTTATGAGAGCGGCAGAGTGGAGAGTTTAGAATGAGGTGACAAGGAGAGCGAGTTTACGGTTTTTGGGTTGCGTTTGCAAATTGCCATGATTGCTCAACTTAAAGTCTGCATAACTTTGCTCATAATTGTCCAATCCTGCATTGTCTCCTCTGAATCAGCTCGATGGGTTGACTTTAACCTAATATCCTAATACCAAAACCTTTCAACTTTTTTGATTAATTTTTTTGTCGTATTATAAATGGCTAAAAATAGGGCAACGTATGATTAAAATGCTATTTTTGTTTATGAAATTTAGCCGTAATGATGTGAAGGTATTAAAATTTGTGTCAGTGTGCCAAGCTGATGGACCTTTTTTGTATCGTTAAAATCGGAAATTGACTTACCTATGCTTATTTGTTGTACTTTTAACAGCGTTTCAGTGCATAACTAACTCTGAAATTCGGGCTTAACGATCATTAAATAAAGTAAGAATCTGACGGTTTTGCTCGATATCAACAGATGGGTGGAGAGTAATTTATTTATTGTATGTTCATACACAATTCGCTTATACACAAAGATACAGGCCCAAAGATCAGTCCCAAATCGGTTTCGCATTTCGCACTTGGTTTGCTCGTCTTGTTCCGTGTGTTTTCTATAAATTAGCAACAAATTCAAATTATACATTTTACTTTCATATGCATACAATTTTTTACAATCTTTTCTTTGGTTTTTGTTTTTTTGTTCGTTTGAGTTCTTTGAGTTTTACGTCGTCCAAAAAGTAGAAAAATGTTATGTCTAAAAAAATACAGGGTAACATTTTCATCCTAACCAATTTTTGTCTTTGCTTTCACACATATGTATGTATGTACACATGTTCATATGTATGTATATATATAAATAGAATTTATGTTTGATTTGCTTAAGTTTTGCTTGGTATTACTTAAGTATCTTAATTGATTTACTTTGCTTTTGTATATACTTTGTATTTAATGTTGTTCTTTGTTTATTTTTTTCTTTGGTACAGAGGTTTTAAAGACATAAAAACAGGCGCTAGTTGAAACCTTGGAGGGCAAACAGATTGATCATCCTATTCATCAGAGAGATATATGTATAGACGTTTGTCTGTATGTGGGCAAATGTATCTCAATCCCTTAGGTTTTTCGAGATGTTTCGGATACCCTGTAGTCTGTACATTGTGTGTGTTGGTGTGTAAACTTATCGTTGTTATAGTTTTTCAGGCAAAGCAAGGCGGGTCTTAAGGATCGAGTTCTTTTGGCTTCAAGCTAACACTTTAACAAACGAATCTATGAAAATTGGCAACAGTGCGTCGTTTAATCAAAGCTCTACTACTCTGGTTTTTACCCAGATTTAATTAGTTTTCTTTTTCTTAACATCATCATGGGAGGAGGCAGGCACTTACTATAGTTCAACAGAATCCGATCTCTCTATATAAACTCTATATTCATTTATGTACAACTATAAGCTATATTCACTTTGCTGTCAATAGTAATACAAAATAAAATAAGAACCCACAAAAAATGATGTAAGAAATAAAACACATAGTGGGTAAAGAAAATATTTCACATTTTGATTGGTGTGTATTTGGTACGCAAAAAAAGTTGTATAATCATATATGTAAGTATATATACCATGAATATATACGGTAATAATAATAATGATGCGATATAATAATTAAAATATAAGAAAAAACACGGTAACAAAACTGGTTAGCTCATCGATTGTTTGTTTTTTTTTTGGGAAATATGAGGACATGGGATTTGGGATATGGGAAATAGGATATAGAAGTTGCGGGTTCGGAAAAATAGGTTTCTCCACCTTATCGCGGCTAGAGCTTAAGGTTGTATAACAATATTTGTCGTATATGTACTTTGCTATTGCTGTGTGTGTGTGTTACTTATATATATATATATATATGTATATATTACTCGTAGGTGTCTATAGCTACATAGAATTTGTTTAAACTTTAATCTTAAGCGACAACGACAACAACACGGGCGGCGATTGTCTTTCACTGTGTGTCGTGCGTAGGGTTTTTATGAAAAAGGGAGTTATTTTGGTTTTTTCCTTTTTTTTATCTTGCTTTTAGGACCTTAAGTTAAAGCTAGGTATACAATTATTTTGTTGTTCTCGCTTCTGGTATTTAGTCACATTCCTTTCCCCAATATATGCATCAAGGCAATATTCTAACGTATTTAAACTAAAAAAAAACAAAAACCATAATTATTATCGTAATAAGTTTTTTGAGGAAACAAAATAGTTTTAACATTGTTATTTCTATTTTTTCTGTTTTTTTTTTCTTTTTTTGTTTCTTTTCTGGTTTTTGTAACAACTAGCAAATTGGTTTCTCTTTGACATCAACATTTAGTTTAGTTTCGTAATTGGTAGTTTAAATATATGTATGTATATAATTTTAATGCGATCTTTGCTTTTGCGTTTTTGCTTTTTGCTAAAAAGGTACATGAAGTGTATACACTTAGGGCGTTCTTTGTCAAGTTCTTCCTTTTGCTTATTTAATTGTTTAATAAGTATTTCTTGGTTTCCACAGTATGCCTATGTAAAAATGTGCAGCATCATCTCAACAGCTAATTCCATTTCTGTATGTACACACATCTGGGTTGGGAAATTGCATGAGGAGGTTCATTCAACTAAAATCGGCTAGCTTACGATTTGATTTTTGTTAACAAATGTTTAGCATTTCAACTACGTAAACATCTAAATGAAGCTTACAATTAGGATTTTCGGTTTATACCCTGGCTTAACAACTAAATATCTTTGATTTAACATTTGCTTGAGTGTCGTGAGGGGGCAGGGGAGGGGAGGGTAGGGGTTACTGGGCGGGTCAAAATAGGGAGGGGCCTTAAATTTATATAGATATAGTATATATCTATATATGTACTCATGCATTCGTATAACAAAGCAGTTCAAACAATTCAACAGATCTCTCTTTCGTTTTAGCTAAGGACTCAATATATAAGGCGCTAAATGTGTTTCTTTGTGGGTTTCTTGCTTGGCTTATCTTAAGTTTCTCTATATAACTCTCCTTCTATATATATCTATATATATATATATGTATATATAGTATATGTATTGTATATATTTTTATATCGCTTGTTTTTAGATCATGTAAGTTGGGTGTTTTGGATCTTATAAGTGTAGGAAAAAACATTTTTCATGCGGCACAAAAACCGAAATAAAAAAGAATCTTAATTCTGGTTGCTCTTTGTACAAACGTTGCGTTTGCTTGCTACATTTTTGTTCCTTTTTTCTTGCGCTTTTTACAATTTTTTTTTCCTTTTTTTTCGTTATTTCCTCTTGTTTTTTCTTGTAACTTAGCTACTTCGCCTACTTAGCTCAATTTGTTGGTGTTTTATGTGTTGTTTTTTCGTTTTGATATAAACCTTGTCACTGATACGCTGGAAAAGTTCACTTTTGTTTGTGTCCCTCGTGTCGCGAGTTAAAACAAAAAAACTACACTTTTGTATGTATTAAAAGCTAACAACGAATTGAGGCGCCCCAAAAAAAAAATAAACCAGTTACTTTCCATTATATAACTCTGGTTTCGATTTTAAATGGTTGGCCATTAAAAGTAAGTTCGTTTTGCAATTGCTCTGTAAAATATTTGCACAATTTAAAATTACATGCTAAAATATAAGAAGTCACTTAACACCTAGGAGTTGTAAGAAATTGCAGCTAGGATGGCTTATAAATCATATATTAATAATTAATCAAGTAATAATTAAATGGCCAACAATCAATTGCGGGGCACAGTAAAGTCGCCGAATAAAAAATTATTTAAAAAAAACCTAGAACATTAGGGCTAAAGTTAAAAAATAATTATCGAAAAAAATCAGTTAGTCAAAAAAATTTGTATAACAATAACGAAAACACACAAGAAATTGTAAAAGGTAGAGCAATGAAAAAACAAAAAAAAAAGGAGAAAATATGCGTGATCTAAAATTACGAAATTTAATCTAAATGCTCTGTGATTTGAACAATTTTTTGCATTAGAAAGAGACAACAACAGATCGCAGGGGCGGGAGGGCGTATGGGCATATGGGGGCGGGGCGCCGTGGTTAGGGGGTTTGGCGGTGGCGATCTTTCGATGGCTATACTACGTCCATTTGCCGCCAGCCTGTCGCCATATTCACCGCATCCAGGCGGACTTTCGCTTAAATTTGGTGCGTAATCCTCGCAATTGCTTCATCTTATTTTTACTTGCCACCGTTGTAGCACTCAAATGCTGTGGCAACATGCCCCCGGCCACGCCCACCGTGCCAACACCGCCCCCACCGGCCAGACAGTGATTATTCAGTCCGCCCACATACATACTGGCATTGTGTCCAGCCGTCGTGGAGTACAAGTCCTGATGAATCTGCTGCTGCTGTTGGGCAAGTGCCACATTGGCGGCAGCACTGCTCAATAGAGCCATCTTGCTGCCACTGCCATTGGTGTAGACCGCTTGATTGCTGCCAAATTGCTGGTGGTGATGTTGCTGCTGAAGATGCTGCTGCTGCTGCTGCTGCTGCAGCTGCTGTTCCCTGTGCTGCTGCTGGTGCTCCTCCTCCAAACTGTGACTCGAGGCTCGCTTGTGCGGGGATCCATGGCTGCTGCCGCTGCTGCCGTTGCTGTGATAATGCGTGGTGGCCACCGAACCGCACTCGACTATCGAGGAGCCGGATAGCGAAAGCAGGGCATCTACGCCATCGCGATGTCGCTGCCGATCGGCCATCTCTTCGGGTGTGATGTTGTGACTGATGAGAGAATGGTACAAAGAAAACCATCAGTTACAAACACCAAAACATATACCAACAAATCCTCTGTGAAAACTCACTTCTCCTCGCTGCTATCGTAGGCAGCATCCGAGCTAGCGCAATTGCTATCGGATCCAGCTCCTCCTTGATTATGCTGACCCTGAGCGACGGCTTGCGACACGCTGGCCAGGGCATTGCCATTGGTCAGTGGCGTGGAGGAGCCACTGTCCGCATTGCTGTTGCCACCCGCCGAATATGTGTGATCCTCGCTCGGCGAACTCGTTATCACCGGGGCACTCCTGTAAGGTAGGTATGGAATAATGGCTTAGATTAACTAGGATCGATTTGACGCTATATGAGCACTATTTACCCATTCTGGAAGGGCTCACTAAAGGCCTTTGGTCCGTGTTTGAGGTAGAGCATCGCCGCCGCCGCATGCACATCGTCCATGCTGTCCGCTCCGCAATCGCGGGCCAGTCGCGCAAAATTGATGCCATCGGAAGCTCCATTTGTACCAGTGCCAGTACCAGTACCGCTGCCAGCTCCACCAGATCCATTCAGACCCACGAAATTGTACTTGCTGCCACTGTTATTGTTATTGTTGTTATTATTATTATTGTTATTATTATTGTGATAGTCGCCGGACAATTCGTCATCGAGGGCATCTTGTAGCATTGGCTGGCCGACTGTATCCTCGCGTATATTCCGAAAAGCTTTGGACAGATTGGGGAACAGCTTGGGATCGAAGCGGGCATGACTGCCACTGCCACTGCCACTGCCACCGCCACCATTGGGACTATGCGGCCTGGCCGCGTTTGTCGCTTGACTAGCACCATTGGCCAGCACCAGACCGTTGCTTTTGGTGGGCGTGGTCAGAGCGACGGCTGCGGCAGCTGAAGCACCAGCACCCACAGCCACTGGCTGTACCAAGGAAACCGCACCATTGCCGCCATCGAGGCTATCGTATGCGGATGCGCCACTGGGACTCTTGAGCGATGGACTGATCTTATCCACCGCCGAGTTGGGAAAGAAGGGCGAACGATTTAGCGCCTGGATGAGATTCTGGCGCTGCTGTGGCTCCACACGCCACAAGGAACCCTTGCCCATGTTCGGCGCCTTCTCCACCTTGACGAAGCTCTTGTTCAGCGAAAGATTGTGGCGTACGCTATTTTTCCAGCCATTGGGCGCCGTCTTGAAGTACGGAAAGTGCTGCACAATCCACGCATAGATCTCTTTAACGGGCAGTGCCTTCTCATTCGAACCCTCAATGGCCATGAAGATCAAGGAACTGCAAATAATGATAACATTTTTAACATATAACTCAATTATCTCACATTTCGTGTGTATATATATAATCACCTAAAGCTATATGGCGGCTTGTTATTGGTATGCACTAGCGGATCGTATGGCACATTATTGGGATGCTTTTGCTTTTGCGGCGTATTGGTACCAGCTCCGCTGCCATTCACATGACTGTTGCCGCTACCATAACCGTTGGCTCCATTTTTGGACACCGAATATTGCGGCGTGCTTGTGTGGATGCGCGAGCTGACCACCAGATCGAATTCCTTTAGCGAATCCTCGTTGTCGTAGCTGGCATAACTATTTGGACTGCGCACGTTGGCTCCACCTCCGGATCCACCGCCTAGTGTTCCATTGTGCACTTGACTCGTTGGTGTCAGATTTGGCGGTGGCGAGATGGATAATTGCAGACTACGCGGCTGCAAAGTTGTTGTCGCTGTGCCCGCTGATGTAGTGCTTGTGTCATAATAAGTTCCTGGCAACAAAGCCGCTCCCGGTGGCGTTTCCGGAGAGGCAATGTGGGCAACATGCGCTGGTGTGGAACTGAAAGGGAAGGCGTTAGTTATTGGTTTCTTCAGAAGATTCGCACAGGGATTCAACTCACATCACATGCGGCGTGCTGGCCACGTGATTGACGAAGCTGTAGCCCGGCGGCAGGGATCCGGCACTGATCAAAGTCGTTGTGGTTACCACACCCGTTGGCTCCTGGCCATGCAGCATGGCTTGACTGTGGGGTGTGCTGTTGCTGTTGTTGCTGTTGTTGCCGTTGGTGCTGCTGCTGCTGCTGGCAACCGATGTGGCATAGTTGACCGCCTCGAATACGGTGCTAAAGCTACTGGCCTTGGGTACTGGGCTATTGCCGCCATTCACAGCCGCTGTCGAGGATCCCGAACCGGAAACAGAGCCTGTATTGGAGCTGCTAATCGAGGAATTGTTCGAGGATGCCGGCGAACTGACCACGGTAACAGTTGAGGCAACATGACTGCTATGATCCATCTGAACATTCATCTTTTCGCGCAGATACTTCTTGTGCGGATGGTGGGTGGTGGTGTTGCTACTGCTGCTGCTGCTGGTGGTTGGCGAGCTAAGTGAATGGCTGGCTGCCTTGTAGATGGTTCCTCCGCCGGCTGTTGTACTACCATTGCTGGTCACATAAATCTGTGGCTGTAACTGCTGTTTGGCGGGCGATAGTATGGTTTGACTGGCGGCACTGCTCACCACCACCGGAATATAGCCATGACCCACCATGGTGGTTCTTGTCGGCGTTGGCAAATAGGTCGTCGTCTGTTGTTGCTGCTGCGGCTGTTGCTGCTGTTGATTGGCTTTGCTGGCCTTGTACTCCACCACGGTTGTGGTGCCACTGGCTCCTTTATGCACCGTTGTGGTGCTGTATACGGTCGATGCTGCTGCTGACCCACTTGATGCACCTCCGGCCGCCTCCTGTTCACTGGTTTCACTCAGATTAGTGGGCAGCTCTTCTATCAAATCGCTGACTATACACAGATTACCATTGGCGGCACCGGATCCAACCGTTCCTGTTGCCCCAGCCGTCGCCTTGATGGCCACCGTTGCACAGTGTTTACCGGCTGTTGTGGTCACAATGCCCTTAATTAGATTGGTGTCGCTGAGCCAGGACAGGGAACGCAACTCCCCATCATCTTCAGTTGTTCGCACATTGACCAAAGTTTCGCCTGAGTTCGCTTCCAGTGGGGCGGCAGCCAGGAGTACTATATTGCCACCGGTGGCACCAACAGTTCCGGTGCTGCCCGTCGCTGTTGTGGTTGCAGAGCCATCGTATGCCGTAAAACCAACATTGTGATTGTGTTGCACAAATACATATTTTGAGGCACTTGCCGGCATGTTGCTATTGCTTGTGGATATAACTGATGGTATTACAGGTGGTTGAGCTGCTGCTGCTGCTGCTGTTGATGAAGCTGATGATGCTGATGGTGCAGTTGCAGATGTTGTTGTGGTGGTGGTGCTGCTGCTACTGCCACTGCTGCTGCTGCTGCTGCTGCTGTTGGCGGGTTGTTGGAGTTGTGCAATGGTGCGGTATCCATGGGCGGCAGCCACTGTTCCTGCTGCCACCACGGAAGTGGACGTTGAGGCCACCGCTACCGTGCCGCCGGATTGCAGATGTCCACGCAGTTGGCTCAAATCACGGGTGGTCAGCAACTGTGTGGGATTATCTGTGGACATGCTGCAAGTGAAATGTAAAGGGAAGATGTTAGGTCCATGCTAGATAGAGTAATATCTTACAGCAAAGTTACAGAAATAATAATAAAATCCATTTCTTTCTAAATCAACCAACCTATTATGCAACATCTCATTTCATTTGCATGAAACCACAATTATTGTTTATTACATCATCGGGCAAAGATTTTAGACAAGAGGCTTGGTCATTTTGCTCTGACTCAGCGTATGCAATTCGCCCAGTTTAACTTTAGGTTGACCAATCCAAAAATCATTATTATAATCAGATCTAAATCTTACGTCACAAAGTGATATCGCATATACAATACCTATTGCGTTGGTAAAAGAAACGATATTGCGATCGAGACCCGACCCGTTGGTATGACATCAATTACATTTAAACATTTTAGAATGCGATCATCGAACATTATGAATTGTTAAACATCTCAGTAGATTGCCTCATCACTAGATATGAAATACCATTTTGGTTAGCCGGCTATTTAAAGCCAAGTTTATATTTTTAGCCCAATCCGCTGATGATCTAATGATTGTTTCGTGAAATGATCAATTAACTGCACTTGGTACGGTCATCAAAAATTGGCTTTTCGTGAAGTGCGATTAGTGATTAGAAGACGAAAAACCGCATATGTAATTAGTTACATATATTAGTTGTAATGGCTACGCCATTTTTTATTGCATACTTTACTGGGTATTTTCCCGGGCTATCCGCTCTACAATTTCCTAATTTTTACGCAATCGAATACATTTTTTGTGTGTGTTTTTATTCTTTTCTGTTGTTAATTCTAATTTACGCGTGTTTGCTTTTTGTGACATTTTTATGACGCCAACGGGGTTGGCACTTCACCTGCTCTCTTTCTCAAATAATACATCTGTCTCTCTCTGTTCGTGTAGCCCCCTCTCCTTCTACAGTTGTGTGGAGATTATCTTATCAGTGTTTCTGTATGTGGGCGTATATTCCCTTATAGTTTCTACTTATTTTCTTCAACTAAAATTTCCAGTGATTCGATTTTAATTCAATGAGAGTCCAAAGATCAATGATCGATGATCAATCAAATAGCAAGCAATCGAATATTGAATTTGGCATCAGTGAAAATATTTGTATTATATTGCCAAAGAGTTCGTTTTCATTGCGAGGGCAAATCTCAATAAAATTCAGAGGTCAAATACATTCTTTTACGTTTACATTTTTCAAAATACTTTGAATAATTAAAAGATCTATGATCGATCGATAACTAAAGTAATCGAGTAATGTATACATCATTTATTCATCCATTCAGTCAGTTGCTCATCACATGCTATTACATCAAAGGCAATTAACTTAAATATTCATTTTGCCCGAGGGGCAACATTTATTTGCCAGCGGGCATTGCAAACCGAAAGAGCGAATGAGACGGCGAATCAATCGTTGGTTAAACAGAGAGGTGGCGTGCGGTAAGGGGGAGTGGGGGGCAGCCAACAAAGTGTATTATTATTTATTGATTTTCATTTGGGGCAGGCACAACAAGAATAACTACGGAAACTAACAAAAACTCGACAATAGAAAATGTCCAAGAAGCAAATTTACTTTTACTAGCTTATACAGTGGGACCGCCATAAAGCGAACATATTAACTCAAGATACTTCAAGTACGCGAAAAAAGGCTCGAAAACTTGGTTTTATAGCATTTAATTTATATATATTTAATTTTTTATTTATATCAATGTTTCTCTCTTCGAGTGCAAACTGTATTTCCTTTTTCTTCTTCTTGTGCTAACCTACCTGATTATTACCCATTGTTTTGCATGTGCAAAAGGTATGGCAAGAGGGAGGGGGCAACGCGAGACAGGGAGGGGAGAGAAAGAGGCAGAGAAGTGCGCGCCACAACAAAACCGTAACCGTAAATGCGAAAAACACAACAAACGCGACGAGAACGAAACGCACGGCCAACAAAAACAGCAAAAACAAAGCTCCGCTGACCTCCAACGTCGGCAGCGCAGTCTACGCCGACGTCGCCGTTGCCGTCATTACACTGCCTGGCCAAACAAATAGTACAGCCTGGAATGTATTTATTATTATACACGGAAAACAAATGTCTGCAATTGGTGTTCAAAAAGTTACATCAGTTACAGAAAAAATGATTTGATACCACAGCAATACACATTTGTTTTGAATCAATTATGAAATTGATTAAATAAACTCATTAAATCTATGTACATGTGTATCTGTACACATTTCCATTTAAATGTCATACATTTTTTTACTGTGTAAAGTCTGGAATTCGTTTATTGTTGCAAAAACGACGCAATTTTTGTTTTCTTTTTTCGAAAGTCTACTCCGTTGTCTTGGCAACTTTTTACTTTGTCTTTTTCATATTTTTTTGTATTTCTTTTTCTGAGCAACAACAAAATAATAACAAGACGCTTACGAATATTTTATTTTGCAGCGTCGCAAGAGAGCGGCAAATTGAAAATTGAGTGAGAGCAAAACAGCGTGTTTGAGATAAGAGTAAGAGAAACGGTGATGGAGGTGGTGCGTTGTTGCCTTTGACATAATTAATAAGCAAATATGGCCGCATGGCGACAACAACAATAAATAATAAGAATACGAATAAGAGAAGCAACAGCAATTTTTGGCCAATGCAACACTGGAAAACTCTCCATTGCAAAATGCCGATACATATGTTTGCGCTCTCTCTCCCTCTCTCTGTTCTCTCTGTCCGGTGAAAGGTTCTCTTTTACGCTGCTCTCAGTTTGAATTTGTTTATCTCAGCTTTATTGTTGTTTTCGAAAGAGAACAAAAAGAGAGAAAGCTACGCATTTGATTTTGAGCCGCAGCTACGGTTTGTTATTACAGTGGAACTTTCCTAACGCGAAAAAGCTAAACTTGTTTGCGTTTTATTTTAATTTGATTTTGGGATATGAGACTCAGATTGGATCAAAACAAACTAAGTTTACTTTAAAATCGCTAATAACTACATACATATGTATGTATTTTCATTTTTTAGAGCATGCACTGTAAAACGTTGCGAGATTAGTATTGTGTTCTAGAAACGTCAACGTCAACGTCACCGTCACCGTCAACAAAATGGCTCTCTCGTTGGCTCTTTAGCTTTTAGGCTGTGACCTGAAGACCTTTCTCCAGCTTGGAGCCGTTTTAAATGTCATCTGAACACCCAACCCCCCAAATCCATCCCACCCACGAAAAAAAATAATAGGAAACGGAAAGAAAAAGAGAACAGGAGAGAGTGCAAGTCTTGCATTTCGGTCTTTTCTTCTGCGAGCCAATTAACAGCAAAAACCGAAAACAAAATAACCAGTGGTAACTGTACCTGAGCAAACTGCTTGCTAAAAAAAAAAAAACAAAAGCAAAAAAATGAATAGAAAATAGTATAGAAGCAGCCACGCTAATGAAACGCCATGAAACTACTGAGGAGAACATCATGATGATGCTGCTTCTACTGCTGCTGTTGATGATGATGATGATGATGGCGATGGAGGATGAATCATCCAGATATATGATATATGTGTAGCTAAGTGTGCACAAATGCGGCACACGGATGCTTATGAGCGTGTCAAAAAAATAATCGTAAGGGAGCCACTTAGCAGCAAATAAAACCACCGGCTAGCAAAGTGGAGTTAAGCCACAACGATAGCGGGTCACAAATCGTTGATGCCCTGTAAATTACTATTATTTAAGAATACATATTGCAAATTTCTATGCCAAATGGTTCAATTACATTATCTCCCGTTTGAATTCCACCTAATTATTTTTCCGCTTCATTTTGCTGACCCACTTTTTTCGACCATATACAATCGATTTGTTTACTCAAATTTTTCAACAGTAGTACCCATTGATTCCTAGCATACGGTAAAAAAATGGTTAAGCCTCGTGCAATAATCAGCGTGCGACTGGTTCAATAATAGTACACACAAACAAACAAACACACAAATAATTGACAGCCAGCATGTTTTGTTTTTTTTGTGCTGTTGCTGTGAAAATTGTCGCCCAATTGAAATGCCAGTGGGGAAAAGTGGGGAATCTATGGAAATCTATGGAAAAATGTTTAATGAGTTGTTTCCTCTTTAAATGCAAGTAATATAAAAAAAAATAGCGCGTGAGATAACAAAAAAAAATGGTATAAATATGCACGCTTATCAGATGCCAGAAAGAGCCGGCATTTTTCTTTATACTTATGTACACATGTATGTACAATTACAATTATCGTTGAATGAAATGTAAAGGCAATTGCCTTGATTTACAATTCTTTGTTTGTGTCTTATTTGAGTATAATTATTATGTTTTGTGTTGAATAAAATATACAATAGGCAATAGGTAAAATTATTATTTGCCGCAGCTTTCAAAACATTTCACGTAACAAAGAGCGAGAAAGAGAAAAAGCTTTTGCATACTTCCGGCCATCAACAAGATAGCATAGAAGGGAAAAAGCTAAATGACAACAACACAACAACAACACAACAACAACAGAATGTGTAATAAAAGCGAGAAACAGCGAATAAGGAATAGCAGCAGCAGCATTTTTTGAGAGAACTTTTCTCTCTCTTTCTTTGTGTGTGTTATTTGCATTGCTTCTCTCTCTCTCTCTCTCTCTCTCTCCATTTGATAAAATATAAACAAAAATTTCGGAAATTCAGAGAACGGAGAACAAAGGTGAATCAAAAATGCTTTTAAACCCTTCCGTTGGGAAAAATGTTTATAATACTTGTTTGCGATACAGATTTTTTTCAGTTTCAGATAAGAATTAGAAACTGCAGTATCCAAGAAATTGTATAACTCTTTTGTTAGTTGCTAGTATGACATGTACTCCAATTATTATAAGCACTTATATTCAATTTTTGTTTAACGTTAAACATTTAAATATGCTGTTTTTGTATTTTAACACCATTTTTAAGTAGACACTTTGTTTATATGTCTTAAACACAAGACGGCTTACTTTTATCATCAATATTGTAGAATTATGCAGAATTTTCTCGATAGACGATGCCAACG